TTCTATGTAGATTAAATTTATCTTCTACAATTAGAGAGGCTAAGGTGGTTGAAAAAAAAATTCAGCAAAGGCTGAAGAAAAGGAACCAAACACATGTTTCTAGTGGAAATGGTCCTGACAATATCACATTCAGCACATTCATGGCATCTATAATCTATAATATAATCTACAATGCAAGAATTTGGAATGTACCACCTGCATATATTTGGACTCTACCTGTTCCACCAGGATATTTGGACTCCACCAGCACTTTTGCCTTATGAATCTCTAATATGGCAGTGATATACTTGTTCCCTCTACTGCAGTGGTGGTTCCCTCTACTGCGGTTTGGCCTGCTCAGTTGAACCGGTAGCGGTGATGAGCAATGGAGACCAAACTGGTTATCTCCGACACTCTACTGTTGGGCCCACCCGCCTGCCTGGGCTCCCATACTAACCTTTATGTCCTGCTTTTGAAGCGCAGTTGCTTTGCGCAGCAAGCAGATTGTTGCATGGCAGCTGCTGAAGTGACAGGGAGAATGCAGGCTTGCAGGAGGTGAGTCAGAAAGCCTCTGCGCCTGCGCAAAGTGTGTATTTGGCATGCACGTGCATGCAAAGTGTGTACGCGCACGCAAAGCACGCCCACCAAGCCACGCCCACCGAACCGGTGGTAAAAATATTTGAACTGCACCATTGCTCCACTGTGGAAAAATGTTGTGATAGCACCCATTCTTTTCTAGACACAATAACACGCGGGCTATTCAGTGCTCCTTTTTCAATCAATGTTTGGAAGATTCCCAAACCTTCTAAGAACTTTAGTTATTCAATCAGATTAAACATTTATAGGATCTCCTTTATATTTTTCGATTTCCCACTCCCCACAAAAACCTTATTAAAAAAAAATAGTTTGCACTTAGATGTTCAACTTCTCAATAGATACTAAGCTCATGCTGTGATCTTTTTGTATTCACTGATCCTATGAAGAAGATAGCTGTCATCATCTGAGTCCAGTAAAACATGAATCAGTGTCTGCTGACTAGCACAAGGCAATAGTGAGTTGGATCAATAAGCTATTTCTTTAAAGAGTTGAAGTTATAAATGAAAAATAACGTTACTAGAGTATAACTGAAAAACCGAGTTGGGAACTTGGGAGGGACATTGGAGGTCTTCTAGTCTAACTGTCTGCTCAAACAGAAAACTCTATCATTTCAGACAAATGGTTATCCAATATCTTTTTACAAACTTCCAGTGTTGCAACATTCACAACTGCTGGAGGCAAGTTGTTCTACTGATTAATTGTTCTGATTGTCAGGAAATTTCTCCTTAGTTTTAGTTTTGCTTCTCTCCTTGATTAGTTTCCATCCATTGCTTCTTGTCCTGCCTTCAGGTGCTTTGGAGAATAGCTTGACTCCCTCTTCTTTGGGACAGATACTCCTTCATTACCCCTTTCTATATGGGGTGAATCTGAAAGATGCCCTGACTATGGGAGTGACTCTTAAGTAAATGGTTTCTTGGAACAATGAAGCACCAATAATATGGGATGGGTCAATGGAAGCTAATTCAAGTTTCTTCCGAAATATGAGGATCACATTGAAAGTTATTTTGAAATTAACAAACACTGCAAAGAGAATCCTAACACTATCCTTATTAAAAGAAAGACCTCTTTTAATAAAATGATGCCTAGCTGACAACCCCAGGTTGTTTAATCTGTCCCTCTCCCCAACTGTTTTTTCACTTGCTGAAATTCATTATCTACTTGATGTAGAAATGTGCAATAGGAATCTACAATTATGCTGTAATTAGTTTGGGGTCTGTATTATGCTGGTTCATTTTGTCTCTCCTTTGTGTAAAATTGAATCATTAGTGTCTTTTATTGACTGATATAGGTCAGAAACAATGCTAGGGCAAATTCATGCCAATTCATATGGCCTACTTACAGTTTGTGGGGTGGATGGAAGACAATATCTCAAAATCTATTTAAGCAATGGTACCTAGATGCCAATCAAGAAGCTCACGTGAACCAATCTCAGGATGAGATATGCAGTCCAAATCCACTACATAAATAGACCAGAAGTGTATCTTCCACTTATATTAAAGTATATTAAAGCTTGGCATTGGTCAAACGTCTGGACAAAAATCTGTCATTATTGGGGAATGGAGCTGGAAAAGATCTAAATTTCTGAAATGTCATTTTCTAGCCCTCTAAGGATGTAATTTTAATAACTACACAAATATAACTAATAATCGTAGGATATGAGTACCACCAAAACAAATCTTGAACTCATTCTGCATGCTACCTGAGCACGTAGTAGACAAGCTTGACATTTCACAACTGCCTGAGTGGGATAAATAGAAAGGTTATATGATGTACATATTGCTACAATTGTCTATCATTACTTTGCCCACCTCACTTGATGCCTGCTTAATCAGCAGTGTGTGCAGAAGATTGCTGCTTTCATCAGAATGACAAACACAACACCAGGCCAAGCTATGCCACTTTTGTAGCCATGATTTTAGTTTCATTTCCTTGAATATAGAATAGAAACTTTTATGGGGTGATTTCTTTTGCTAAAAAGACTGTCCATTGCACAAGATAGGGCAGTGATGTTTGTTCTTTCTTCTTGGGATTTCTGTGTTGGTTCAAACGAAGAGAATTCTGACCATGCCCAATCTGTTTTCAAAGATCAGGGATCAAAAAGTGTGGTATATGGAAGTTTCCAGGATATCAGCATTAGTATACTCATCCGTTATTTGAAGCCCCCTGTCTCTCTCAATAGTTCTGTCCCATACAAATTACTAGAACCATAGCAAGGGTTTCTAGACCCAAATGTTAAGAATGAAACAACTGCATTTAATTTGTTGAAGAAAAATACTTGGGAGAAGAAATACTTGAGAGAAGTATACTACCTGGAATAGTATTTTTTAAATCAAAGGTTCTGAGTTTGAGTCCCATATTAATTGTAAATTCTTCAGCTGAATGTGTAGTCTTAGCATTTTTCAATTCATCTATCCAGTGCTTAGGTTGACTCAGCCTTCCATCTTTCCGAGGTTGGTAAAATGAGGACCCAGATTGCTGGGGGGCAATATGCTGACTGTGTAAACCATTTAGAGAGGGCTGTAAAGCACTGTAAAGTGGTATATGTCTAAATATTATTGCTATTAGACTGTGGTTATTGAATCCCAGGATTCTAATAAAACAAGATTAGATTTGAAAAGAAAATCTACACCATATTGATTTTGTAATGCCGGAATTGCAAAAATATATATTTATTGAGAATGTTGAGTTGAGGAAGACTGTTTTAGATAATTCAAAACATACTTCATTCATTTTTTTCACTGACAATTGTCATAACCCCATAAAGTAGATTTACAAGATATGAACTGAAATCATCTAAAGACATATGTTAAATTTAAGGCTAAAATAATCAGCAATTCTTTGCATGCTCAGACTCTATCGTATACAATTTCTGCATTGCAATACACAACCTGTGGCACCTCTGGCAGTGATGGTGTCAGGGATATAATATTTAACTAGAAATGCCTACAACTAATTGTTCTGGTAGAGTCAATAAGACACAAGACTTAACAATAGCTTTAGTGGTATGATGTTCTTTTCCAAGAGGCTAATCAAGTAGGTATTGTTATTTAGTTATTTATTTATATTTATTATTATTATTTATGTACCCCATCTCATTGATACAGTGACTCTGAGCAGTTTACAATATAATAAAAAGTTAAAAAGTACCACATGAAAATGAAAATTTGAAGAATGAAATAGAAAAGCTAATACCCACGATGATATGCGGCCTTAAGGATCTTCTGTATCTGGTCAGACCCCCTTAATGCAGCAGTTTTCCATCAGGGTCACACTGTTCCCAGGCTCTTCTGGAAGGCTATGATTATGAGGGCAGATCTCACCACCAATGGGAGAATATTTCTGAGGGTGGGGGCATGGGCCACAGTAGAAAAGGCTTTGCTCCTAGACTCCACCAGCAGAAATTGTTTGGCAGATGGGATCCAAAGTAAGGCTTTTCTGCTGGAACATGTGGGGCAGCCTAGTCCCATCGGATTGAGACAGCTTGTCAAATATCTTCCCCAATAAGCTATTAATAACAGTTTATTGATCCATAGAAATTTATCCCCACATTCTCTGACCTGAATTTGTTTTATTAAAAATATGAGGAACTGAAGGATTTGGGGCTTCTGTCTCCCCATGCTTCCTTCCTTTTTGTTCTTTTCTGTTTTCCCCCCCAATGGTCATGACAATAATGATGAGGAAAGGTGAATCAATCAACCAATTATTTCTTTCGGGGGCAAGCAAAAATGAAGGATGAGGTGATTCATCAAAGCTGCATTAAAGGCATAGACAAGGATATCATTATGTTGAAAGGAATCAGCAATGGAGGACTGACCAGCTTCTGGAATTTTCTCTGAAATACTGTAGCCAGGGTTTTTGTTTTTTTTTAACTCAGATTATAGCCTATTGAGAAATAATTACCTTTAGGTTGAATATATTTGCTTCCCATGCAGCACAGCGTACCATCAGAAGCATTCCACAAGAGAGCGACAAAAATTTATCTCTGCCGAGGGCTCTGTGAGGAAAGTCATTTCCTATACTAGTTGTGGCATAGGTACTTGTAATGATAAGAATCTATTAATTAAAAGAGATTTAGAGAAGAATATAAGAAGCTCTTCATTTTTTATATTGTAAATATTGTATAGAGTTGGCGAGCACAAAGCACAAAGACGGTCCAAAGATACATGTTCCACATCTAATTATAACTTGTGTGGTGCAAATTTCAGTATGCTGGAGTATGCAGTTTGATTGACATGACATGAGCATACAAGATCGCTTGAAGTATGTTATAGCAATAGAAATTGCACAACTGTGTCCAGAGGTATTGGGGGAGAGCCCTGGGATTTTGCTGATTTGAGGACCGCTTGCTCCATTCAAATTAATTTTGCTCTCGTCATTCAAAGTCAGATCATCTGCCTGGCTCAGCATGACAGAAAGGTGCACAATCAGGGTTAACATAAAACTGAACTAAGCTCCAAACCACATAGTTGGAAGTCTTCCCAGCCAATTCACCATGACAGCAAGGAGTTATATGAGACAGATTTTTTAAAAAAGAAAACAGTAACAGGATGGACCTCTCAGAGAAAGGAGACCCCAAGAAAGCTTCATTCCTTTCTGTTTCTGCAGGATCTGTTTCTCCAAAAAGTGTTAGCCCTCCTGAGAAAATATCTCCGGTATGTATCTGGAGGATTTTGTTTTCCTTATTTATTTTAACTTCATGAAAGCTTCTGATATTTTTGTCACTGCTGTGTCCTAGCTTCAGTCTTACCCAGAATTGATATTAGCTTTAAAAATTTGGAATGAAATGTTTCCTTGATTAATCTATTAAAAAGAAAGCTTTTTTTAAAAAAAAGTAAAGGTGGGAAAATAGAACTGGTGGCTTCTTTGGAATAATCACTCTCCTGCCAAAAAAATTGTACTCTGGGAATTTGCATTCTAGACATTTTCAGATGGAAAATACATTCCAAGAATTTTCATTTTTTGAAGTATGAAAGAGATCTATTGTAGTGGGAAAGTTGCTGAGATCCTAAGTCATCATGTAGTGTATTTCAACAGTGAAAATTTCAGCCCCAAACAGCTGCACAGAGTGGCATTTTAAATTAGTGCTACATTCATATTTTTGCTGCTGTCGTTAATGGTGTTTCTTTTTTGAGGTTGAATTTTCAGACCTTTCTAGATCCTGATTATGAAGAATGAATGGCTTTATTCTTAAGGGTATATTTGTATTAGTCTTGATCCAGCACCAGTAATTTGACATTGTGCCTTCAGATAGTGAAAGAGCAATTTCTGGATGCTTCTTCTAACGTGGCTGTACCCCAATACATTTGGAGGATATGAAGCTGGAGAAGACTAATTTATAAATAGCTGCAAGCAGGAGAAAGAGAATGGAGTTGCAGTTATGGAATGATGATTCCTCAGTAAAATAAATAGCTATGTAAATGAGATTTCCTTCTCAAACAATAGAGAAGGAAATAGTTGTAACCTTTAAAGAAACAGATTAAAAAATGTTAAATAGATTTGTAAAAAAAACAAAAAGGCTGAGAAGAGATAGGACATTATTTCAGATAGAGCAGAAGGAATAACCTGGCTGATTTCAGTCTTAATTAAAATGGGATGCAGTTCTCAGTGAACATTTATAGCTTGAAGTAGTATAGCATTCTGCTTCTCAATTAAAACATTAATAATATTTAAAAACTGTAATATTTTAAAGGGGGAAAAACTGGTAGGCAAAGAAGCATTCTCATATCAAGGACTTTTTAATTGGTCTAGAAAAATGCAAATAACTCCTAAATGAGTGCTTCCCAGAAGAAATTGAGTGCTGCCCAGTCTTGTAGTGTAATAAATGAGTAGCTTTACCTATTCATTGCACATACAAATGAATATTTTAAAAAGCCCTTTAATTTAAAATTTGATCAGATCAAGCTTTTTCATTTCACATAGTTCACTAGTTGCACATTTATGGATTAATGGAGGAAAGCATTAAATCAGCCATTGGTATGACTATACAGATCAATGCTGGAATTATCTCAAAGAATAGATAATCAAGTGTTTGTACTGCTTTTCTTGACCAATATCCATGATCTGTTGAAAGAGGTCATAAACTAAGAATAATTGCATTACAGAAACAATATTTAACTGCTATTTCCCCTCACATTCAAGTTTTCTCCTCTAATTCTCTTTATGAATGAGACTGCAACTTTATACGCATCCATACATGCATGTAAGAATACTTGTGAATAAAGTCCAGTATATGTAATGGTTGAATGGCATGTGAGATTTCTTATCAATTTTGGGCAGTTATGAAATGCTCTGAAACAAAAAAAATTGTACTGCAATTTTTACTTCAATGTTGTATTTGAAACCTATGCCAAGTGTGATTATTCCATAAAACAGGTATGCCAGAGGAACTCTGCAATCTTCCAGGGTTGCAAGCAAAATCAGAGAATAATTCAGTACCAGAATCATAAGAGTGCCCTTTGCAAATTAATAAACCAAGAATAATTTTGAACCAAGCATACAACAAAGTTCTGGATTGTTAGGATTTTCCCCCCAGTTATTACAAGTGTGTCTTCTCAGTCATGTATTTAACCTGTAACCATAATTGGAGCTAAGAGAAAGCAGTGGCCAAAAAGGGACTTCAAAATAGAAAAAGTGGCCAAGGGATATATAAAAGCACCCTTCCTACAGCTTCTGTACCAACCCATTATTTTTCTTTACATGAAGAACTTGTAATTGGACTTTAAAACATAATTGCTTTATGGAGCTGTATTCTCATCTGAGGTATGAATGCTCTGCTTGATTAAGAAAAATCCATTCTACTTGTCAGTCCAGTTTTTATTTTCAGTTCTATTTTTCATGCTCTCTAAATCCCACTGTCACCCTGAACCACATGCTTCATGCATTATAGTTAATACGTTCTATAAGCGAATGCTACAATGGATGGACATGCCCAAAAAGGAGTATGCAAGTAAAATAGAAATTGAATAAAAGATACAAAAATTGGAAATAAATGCTAAACAAATCAAGCTTTTCCATGGTGTGGGAGGAGCATCTGCATATTTGGGTTGAGGAACTAAAGGTGTTATTCTTCATATGATGTTAGCAATAATTCAGAACTTGGCTGCTTAAGGATGCTCTTAACTATCAAATGGAATAATACTTTGTCTACATCTGACCTGCCAGAACAGTGTGGCAACATTGGGACCATTAATAACTGAAAGGCAGACCATGTAGAAAAGATAGCACAATAACATATTTTTGACTATTTCAGTGTTACCCAGTTGCCAGACCTGGGATGTTGTTATATCTCCCTTCCAATTTTATTGAAGGCAAGGCATTGAAACCCACAGAGAAACTTCTCCAGTGACTGTAAAAGGTGTATTGTCTTCTTATATGTCAATGTACTATATGTAAGCAAAGCTATAAGGATTTTCAGGTTGAAATAATAATATTATTCAGTCAATTTTTTAAAAAGATGAAATAAGCCCAAATAGCATACCAAATGGGTTCAGCAGCTTGTTGTGATATGAAACAATCTTGACACTAGATTCATTCAGTTTTGATAGCACAGTAGTATGCAAACTATAACACAAATAGTCTTTGTAGATGCTCTAATGAATGTGTGTAGAAGAGAATGACTTTTTAGCAGCAAATTCCAGCCTTTGAATCTTCATCATTTAACTTGTATGCAACTGATATGGAAAATAGGAGTGAGTAGGAAACATCTTTCCATTTCCATTTCACTGCAGACTTACGCAATTCACATCTCCCAAATTAACCTATGAAGCAAAACTCAATTATATTTTGATAGGATATGCAAAACAGTTCTCCAGCCATAAAACTTGAAAAAACGTGCATACTTTACTGAATAGAATATATGATAGTACACTATCTGGTTTGAAATTATTTCCTCAAATATTTATATTGGAAAAATTTGTATACAAATGGCATATATGAAAAATGAATAATACACGTACCCATTTGTGTGTGTGTGTGTATGTGTGTGTGTGTACATTGGTATGTTTTTAAACCAGTGAGGAAACGGGGTAAAAAGAGCCTTAGAAATGAAACAAACAAACTAATTTGAAATGGACAGGTTCATCAACCCCAAATGGAGAGCTTGTAGCTATCTGTAGGCGTCCTTTCGTATATGGTTCAGATTTTCTAATCCTCCCCTCCCTTGCCAACCAGGTTTCCTGAATGCACAGAAGAAGTCAGATTGGCATGTGCATTGTATATTTTGGCATTCTCTGTGTACCATCAAATTCACGTAGGTTGAAACAGAGCTTTGATGTTATGAATCACCTTCCTCAACTGCCCCATTTCCCTGTTCCTTCAGGGAAGTGTCCTTGAGTTACTGTAACAGGCCTACCGTGTTTCTTCAGGAGCTTTTTTGTTGACATTAAAACCTGAACTTTGAGAAATCACAATCTGTAAATGTGTATTTGACTCCCATTTAAATAACCCCTCCCTGGCAGTCTCATCTCTTATTGGTACTGGAAGACTGAGGATTTCTCGCTGTCAAAATGGGTTTCTCTCTCTCTTTGCAGGTTCTGTTGCTCTTGCATGCCGTGGGATGGCACTGCAAAAATGTTGTGGAAGTGAACTAGGAAAAGCGTCGCCCTGCTTTGTTTTCTTACAGTGCAGTGAAGCCTCACAAATTTGAGGACAAAAATGAAGGCTGGACTGTGAAAACAATAATATGGCCATTATGTACTTAAGCATGCGGTTAGGCTTTGGTGTTTGATGCTCGGATCCTCCTGACACTGAAATTGTTAGGATCCTGTTTCCCATATTATCTCTGCTGACACAATTACTCTGCACATGCTGAAGAAAGAAAAATAACGGCCCTGAGGGGATTTGTTTCTTGATTACACCAAGAACCCAAATTACTCACAGGAATTTTATAGGAACCTGTGGACATTTGCTAAGCTCATCCAAGTCACAAAAAAACTTTTTGCTCTATATCTTTGGATGAGAAAACAATTATGTTTTGCCTTTATATATTTGCATTTTACACAAGCTTTTAAAATTCTATTTGATACTGTTTGTATACACATATGTGTGCGTATATGCATACGCCTACACACCCACACAAACATATGTAATATATAATATTTTCAAGCTTCTTAAATTCTAATTTACATTGACTTAATGTGTTGAACATCACTCTTTGAAGCATGAGTTTACTGACATTTTAAGTGTTTTCTTGAACTTTTTTTTTCACAGACATACTTGTCTTTTTCATTTTGTTGTACAAATAGATGTTTTGGTTCAAAACATGGTTTCTGTGTGCACCATTGTATCAACTGTGCAAATGATGAAATGATATGTATATAGTATATAACCCAACCTCTTTCTGCTTGGCTTCTTTAGGGAATATGTGGCACCCACTATCCTCTCAGCATCGCCTTCATTGTAGTGAATGAATTTTGTGAGCGCTTCTCCTACTATGGAATGAAAGGTAGGTTTTTATACAGCCTTTGCTCAGGAAAACTCAGATGCTTTCCCCATTTATTTAGATGGAGGAAAGACAGGGAGAAACTCATGGCTGGAATTGGGGGGTGGGGAGTGTTTTGCTTGATTTCTCACCCAAGATCTCAGTCAGATTTATAAAAATGAATGGTTTGTGCTAAATGTAAATGCTAATGTGATAGACAGAAATATCATAAATATAGAATGTTGGCACAAAATAAAGGTTGTTTTAAAGAATGTTCTGCAGAAAATGGGAACAGAACTGAAGTCTGAGGAAGAAACTGTTGGCCTAGCCAGACTTTCTCAACCATAACCTTTTCCAGGTGTTGGATATTCAGTTCCTAGAAGTCTTCAGCCATCAGATTATTGTTCAGAATTCTGGGCATGAAATTCACTAATCTAGTGCTACTAGATCTAGACTGCAAAAATGCAGATGGCTACCAGATGGTTAAAAGGCACTAGAATTTTCTATATCTGTTTGCTCTCATCTAGTGGTTGTCCAGAGAGTCCAAACCGGCTGACCCATCACACATCTGGAAGGATGCCTGGACAGAGAAAGCTGCCTTAATAACTAATTTCTCCAACTTTTCTCCTGTGGCAGCCCCTATGATTTTATCTCTGGGATGGTGGTCAACATTCAGAAAGTCCACTTTGTTCATCACTCTATTTTTCTGCCACTGATAAACTTTGTTCCTTCTGTGACTGTTCAAGGCACAAAGCTATTATCAAGTGGCAATAGATAGACATAACCCTGGAGAAAAACTGTGGCAGTTAGCAAAACATGATTTAAGTGCAGAAAAGAAAGAAAATGTCAGAAACAAAATTGAATGGAGTCTGATTTAACTCTTTTTGACGAATGGAGGAAGAGTGTTGTCAGATTTTTGAGATTCTACTACTATATTGATAGAGTTGTACTGTTTCTTGTAGAATCTATTTGCTGATGTGGTGTACCTGAAAGGGTTGACACAATCCTACCAACAACCTACGACAGTATTATAAACTGGACCTAAATACTATCATACATTTTGGAGGCCTGGATGGACATAGAAGGGAGAAATCCACTCTCAGAAATATGCCTACTTGTGTTTTATGTGTAGTATCAGTTAAGAGCCCAGGGCAAAGATGGTGGGGGAAGCTATGGTCATCTAGGATACTCTGATGACATTCAGAAGCACTGCTTCACAGAAAACTGGATGTGAGACCTTGCTAATAAAGTTGGGCTCTCAGGAACACTTGGGACTCTCACTATTGTACAGTTTCCTTGTTAAATTGTAATATCCCTGCCTGAACTCCTTGAAGATGACTAGATAGTTGGTGGAGTTCCCCAGGCTTAAGATTGCAGGGGATTCTTCCCAGATTTGCAGCACCTGTTTGAGGAACAAGTGGTAGTCATGGTCAAGAGTGCTTTTGTACAACTTTGTCTAATGTGCAGTTGTACCCTTTCTTGGACCAAGATGTACTGCTTATGGTCACCCATAGCTGAATTGCCTCTCAAGAAGACTACTACAATGTCATCTATGTGGGAGCTGTCCTTGAAGAACATGCAGAAGCTACAACTGGTCCAAACTGCATTGGCATCAGAAATTATGGATGGACCTCAGGATGCCCCTGTTGCATCTCTGTTCCATGAGATGTACTGACATCCAGGGTGGTTTCAAGTGCAAATCAAAATGCTAGTTGTCACCTATCACATTGTGGCAGAAATTTGGAATTCCATATCCTTTAGATTGACTCTGATCTTACCAACTTTTCAGAAAGCTCTAAATATTTGGATGTGTTTCTGGCTTGGAGGTCAAGCAGTTGTTGAAAGCCAATGAGATTTTATTTTATTGTTGATTGAGCATTGTCCTTAGCTGCCATTGTAGGCCTTTTATACTGTTATTCATTTATTCGTTTACCTTGCATTGTGTTTGTATGTATTTTTAGCCTCCCAGAGTCATTTCAACAAGAAGGTCAACTATATAAAATATTTGAATAAATATTAGCAATATCCATTATCCTGTATTTTTCTTGTTGTTATGTTTCTTCCTGCAGCTGTCCTGTCTTTGTATTTTCTCTACTTCCTGCATTGGGATGAAACAACTTCCACATCTGTGTACCATGCTTTCTCAAGTTTGTGTTACTTCTCACCAGTCATTGGTGCCTTCATTGCTGACTCCTGGCTGGGAAAATACAAGTAAGAATGAAACATGCTGCCTATGCATATAGACTTTCCCTTTTTTATGTAGGCTATTCCATTTGTATTGTCAGGAACAATTCAGAGGAATATGGAATCCATCATCAGGGAAGAGAAGATGCCAATCTGAAGAGGAACCATATCATAGTGCTTTCCCTCACCCTTCTGGTCAGCAATAGCTCTTTTCCCCAACACTTAGGAGAGCAACAGAGAAAGAAGGGTTGTAATTTTGGTAGATATCCCAGCAGTAGAAAAATGCTTGTTTCTTCCCTATCAGGAACCACAGATACATTTTTGGCTTTCTGATTATAAATGCACCTGCCTTTGGCTGATAATGTTTACCCACTTTTCTTTTCTTTTCTCTTCTCTTCCCTTTGCAGAACAATCATTTATCTCTCCATTGTTTACATTATTGGGCACGTGATCAAATCAGTTGGGGCAATAACAAGTGTGGGAAACCACATTACTCATGTGTAAGTAATGAGGAAAGGGCCTGCTGTGTTTTGATAATGTTACTATTAATTAACTTGTATTAATGAGCAGTGCATTCAAATGTACCTTGTTGCAAGCATTATGTGGCTCTGTCAGAACTTTTTGTTATCTGGGCATAATGAGTTTTATCCCTGTCAGGTCTGGATATCATAGCCTTGGCAGCTGCCAGTGCCTACCTTTTGAAAAACAGAGTCTTGATTCTTAGAGTGCAAAAATTTGTTCCAGACTTGACTTCATGTGTTTCAGTGGTGAGAGCACTGCTTGGAATTCACCGCTCAGCTGCTGATTAGTCTCTATCTATGACTGAGGGGCCCTTGACCATTGCCATTCAGCATGATTAGGGGAATTTTGTTTACTATTGCAGAACAAACACATACAAATATAAAGTGAACCACAGTGTTTTCAAGTGTGCTCATTTTTCAGAAATGAAGGGCCTGTGCAGTCACCTTAGAATCTTATAAATCCAACTTCGTAATGTTGCTGTGCAAAATGAGTTGTGTTATAATTTTGATTCTTCCCCTACTTAATCAGGTTGCCTATAAACATTTTGACTGTAGTCACCTAATCTCTTGCATTTTGGCTGGGATTGGTAGAAACTGAAGTCCAAAGTACTTGAACACACCAGGTAGCTTAATACTATTTGAGTTGGAGAAATCATGCAAGGAGTTTTTGTTCTTGCATTTGATGAAAAATCATAAACATGGAAAATTATATTAAAATTAAATATGTTGCTCTTTATGTGATGTGAAGTGCATATTTTATCATGGAGATCATGATCTGGCTGGAGAGTATATGGCATAAAGTGCTATACAGACCAACTTTTGATTATTTATTACAAAAAAAGATGTAGAGACTTTGGAAAAAGTGCAAAGAAGATCAACTAAGAATTAAAGGCCTGGAGACTAAAATGTATAAAGAATGGTGCAGGATTTAGAAAAGAAGGACTGGGGTGACATGATAGCAGTATTCCAGTATTTGAGAGACTGCCACAAAGAGGAGGGGGTCAACTTATCTTCCAAAGCACCAGAAGGCAAGACAAGAAATAATGGATGAAAATTAATCAAGGAGAGAAGCAACCTGGAATTAAGCAGAAACTTCCGAACAGTAAGGACAATTAATCAGTGGAACAGCTTGCCTTCAGAAATTGTGGTTGCTCCATCAATGCAAGTTTTTAAGAAGAGACTGGACAGCCACCTGTCTGAAATGCTACAGGCTCTCCTGCCTGAGCAGGGAGTTGGGCTAGAACAGGGGTAGGGAAACTTGGCTCTTCTATCACTTATGGACTTCAACTCCCAGAATTCCTGAGTGAGCCATGAAAGGTTCCCCATCCCTGACCTACTGGTTTTTCAGTTGTGGGGGAAATCAATTTTTGACTTGAATGGGACTGTTTAATATACAAATGGGACATTACATTTGTATATTAAACAGTCCCATTCAAATCAAAAATTGATTTCCCCCACAACTGAAAAACCAGTAGGCCAGGGATGGGGAACCTTTATGGCTTACTCAGGAATTCTGGGAGTTGAAGTCCATAAGTGATAGAAGAGCCAAGTTTCCCTACCCCTGGGCTAGAAGACATGCAAGGTCTCTTCCATCTCTATCCTGATTGATTTGTAGTTGGAACCAGAGGTGGTATTCAGCAGGTTCTGACCAGTTCTGGAGAACCAGTAGCGGAAATTTTGAGTAGTTCAGAGAACTGGCAAATACTACCTCTGACTGGAGATTTTACAGTATCCCTTCCCTGCCACTCCCACCAAGCCACACACCCACAGAACTGGTAAAAAATTTTGAATCCCACCACTGGTTGTAACCTATACAATCCCAAGACAATATAAAAAGTATTTTCCATAAATGTTTAACTTGGCTAGATTCAAAATGATTTAAAGAATGCTAGGTAACCTAGGTGTGGAATTACAAAATTGAATATTCCCTGGTATCAAAAAATCTACCTAAAAAGAAATAACAATGCCAAAAAACCCTGAGGAAAAATGCTATTTCTGATGTATTGTACTTGTTTTCAACAGCCATGGAGATGTAGTCATGAGGAATTCATAGTCCTAAGGGAACTGATTTATTCCAACCCAAATCTCAACAACGTCAGATCTTGCCATCTTAGCTTCATCAACATTCCACACCCCTCTGTAAAAGTCCTTTGCATTGAGGAATGGGGTTTGTTTTTTTTTAGTAAAATAAGGGACTGCAACAATAAGGCAATAGAAAATCTTAAATGGCACAAAGACAGCTTGGGCAGTTTTTATTTTCTCAATTTATTATTTCCCAGATTAACTCCGTATTCAAGGAAACATAAGAATCAACCAATCAATTACAATCACATTTATTTGATATTATTGTTTTGTATTTTATAATAGTCTATTTTATTCAGGTGGTTTCAATTATTGGGCAGTTCAACATATAAACAAATAAGTGCTAAAAATAAATTATATAGCTATAACACAAATACAAATCCCACCTGATAGGTTAACCTAGTTAATAACTTCAGTTTTCAAAAAGTTCTGTAAAGAAATTAAAAAAAATTATACAGCTTCCTTAAATTCATTGAAAAGCACATCTTTCTTAGCAACCGTATTCCAGAGTAGTCTTATTCCAGAGTGATTAAGTGTGATTTTGCTGCATTGGGCTAGGGAATTTATTTGCATTTCATATTTGATAGTGGGAAGCAAGTTCCAGACGATCTAGTGCCAGATTCAGTTTCAAATTCCCAATAACCATTTTTCTAGAATGTTGAAGCACCATCAATATTGAAGTACCATCAATAGTTCACAACCCATGTCTCCACCCACAGCAATACAGTGGGGCTACTTGGGCCTCATTGGTGACACCGTTACAACAGCTGGACATTCCTTTGTACACCTTTTAGAGAATGGGTGTACGTATTGCCAAATGCAGCAAAAAAGTCAAATGGTTGTTAGATCACAATCTACTACTGCAGAGTTTGCACTGGGAAAGTTTGTTCACTGGGAGGAGATACAAGAAAGCTGGGGGTTCTGCCACTTTCTCTTTTAAATAGAAAAATGTCTCCGACTGTCATTAGCTGGTGATGGATCATAATGAGTCTCTGCCTCAAGAATTTACAGATGAATGGGGTAGCTCAGTGCTGTGATACAAAAGGCAATAAGCTACAGATCCAACCAAAATGGTGATCTCATTTCAACTTGTCTTCTAGCATGTTTTTGAGATGAAAGACTTATAAGACATTACTTGATCCAACTTGATTTTTGCTTATTTTGTTGGCTGGAAGTCCATTAGAAAGAAACAGGAAAGGATAACCTCCCTGCATGGTTCCTATTGCCACAGCACTAACATGTTTCAAAAGACTCTGTTACAGAGTTATCAGCTCTGCCCCCAAGACTTCCCCTGCTCTTCCCCCAAGTCTTTTTATGGTGCTGAGATTTTCATCCCTATTTGAAGGATTTTGTCAATGACGGGCCTGTCTCTGATTGCTCTTGGAACGGGAGGCATCAAACCCTGCGTGGCAGCATTTGGTGGAGACCAGTTTGAAGAAAAGCATGTAAGAACCGTGTTTCTTTTCTTCCATGTCGTTTCTTTACCTTTACGTGACATTATATGTATTTTACAACTTTTTTTTTTTTTGCAATGGAATGATCAATTTACCAGCGTTCCCACATCAAGAGTAGTTTGGAATGTTCTTTTAGAAACATTTGTTCATCCTCCTTTTGTATGTGCAAAAGATACAAAAGCAGATGCCTTATTCAGTCTTGATGCATTGTTCAATCATGATGCCTTGTTCATAGATATATGATAGATAAAGAAATACCTTACATTTCTATCTAGCCCATTATTGGACAAAACTGGTAGCAATTCCACCAATACCACTTGGTGGCTTCAGCTAGTTCAAACTGCAACAGCCTATGTAGACTCTGGCAATTACCAGTAGGAATGTGTTACACCTGCATTGGCTTTTTGGCACAATTTAAAGTGCTGGTATTAATCTGTAGTGTTTGGCACCAAATTACATCCAGGATTATGTTACTGTCCCTGTTTAAATTTATATCAAATGTAAAGAAACAAAGAAACACCTATGCAGGCAAAAACCTGGGCTTGAAAATTAAACAAATGAGCAGCTTCCTTAGCTTTTAAGCCTTACTTTTTCTTCACACATATATATTGAATAGTAACAGCTATTTCAGAAAGCTTTCAGAAAGCTTCCAATCATTTTAGTAGTACTTCACATAGAATAGAATAGAATAGAATAGAATAGAATAGAATTCTTTATTGGCCAAGTTTGATTGGACACACAAGGAGTTTGTCTTGGTTCATGTGCTCTCAGTGTATATAAAAGAAAAGATACATTCATCAAGAATCATAAGGTACAACACAATAATAGTCATAGGGTACAAATAATCAATCAAATCATACTAGGAAACAGTAAAAAATCATTAGGATACAAGCAACAAGGTTACAGTCATACAGTCATAAGTGGGAGGAGATGGGTAAAAGGAAGGATGGGAGGAGTAATAGTAATAGTAATGCAGACTTAGTAAATAGTTGGACAATGTTGAAGGAATTATTTGTTTAGCAGAGTGATGGCGTTCAGGGAAAAACTGTCCTTGTGTCTAGTTGTTCTGGTATGCAGTGCTCTATAGCATCATTTTGAGGGAAGGAGTTGAAACAGTTTATGTCCAGGATTTGAGAGTTCTGTAAATACAGTATTTTCACAGCCCTTTTTTTTTTGACTCATGCACTATACAGGTCCTTGATGGAAGGCAGGTTGGTAGTAATTGTTTTTTTCTGCAGACATAGGAGAAGAATTCTAGATAGCCTGTCCCTTCCCTTTCTTTCTCTTTTTCTGTGCCTTTCTGTACATGGAAACTTGTAAACAATTTGTATAGCCTCCCATCTCAAGTATACCCACATAAACATCTATACATATATGTCCATGAGTATATATGTATATGTATACAACATATGTATGCCTATGCATGTTTTCATTTCATTCAAGCCCAAGATATCTTAAGGAGTATACAATAATAGGATTAAAAAAAAAACACAGAGACTCCAAACTCAGAAAAATCCAGATCTCAAGAAATCAAAGAGCAACTCAGTTAGAAACAGCAGCTGAGTTACTGTTACATCTCATAAATAACCTTAAAATTAAATTCAAAACACCTGTTAGAACAAGCTGCATGGAAGATCAATAAAAGCCAGGTGTTCTAGAATTTATTTTTATCTTACCTTTATCATTTTTATAAATAACTCAAGGCAGAGAAGATATACCTAATATTTTCTTCCTCTTCCTATTTTCACCACATCAACCTGGTGAGGTGAGTTGGGCTGAGAGAGAGAGAGTGACTGGCCCAAAGTCACCCAGCCACGTTTCATGCCTAAGGTAGGACTATAATTCCCAGTCTCCTGGTTTGCAATCTAGTCCCTTAACCACTAGACATCAAATGCTGGAATTAGTCTCGTGCAAACTTCTCAAGATGTGCAAGAAAACCAGATAATTATCCTTCAGAGGAACTCTAGTGTCTTTTAAAAAGTGGATAACCCACAAACTCCACTGTTGTGCACCTCTTGCCTTCAAGAACCTTTTCCTTATATTTAAACAAAACATATATCCATTTCTCTGATCCTAGTTTCTGTGGTAATACAAATATACTGTAGATCTGACCATCCTCCACATGACACTGTTTTAGTTACCAGTATCACTGAACACAAAATTTAGAAGAAAGTGTTAAAAAGAAATCATATTAGACAAATTGGGGACCTTGTATTAATTACAGCACAGTAACAACACCTGAGGGCTGAATCATTCTCATAAGTACAACATTTATGAACAATAATAATTATATTTTGTAATCATCCTTTAATTAATACATAATTGGATGTGATTATAATAGCAACAGCCCTTGTTTTCCAAATGCTTCACCAATTTCTGTCACATTAATCACTGATCTCTGAGTGGTTAAATATTACCTTTTTTGACTATGCAGTTTGCTAATTGATTGCTAAAAGCTAATGCTTAAGCAGCCTGGTAGACCTTTGAATGTTCCCAACCAAATTCACAACCTCTGAGTGAAGAAACAGTTCCCTTTTTGGCAGATCAATATCACATGGCCTCTGCCTGAACCAATAATTCTTAACTAAAATGCACCAAGTTTAATCTTTTTTAATATTGGCAAAAAAAATATTAGAAGGAATTTCTATTTTTTAAGAAATTAGAATGTGGTAGTACCTTTTCTCACTATAATACTAAAAAGTAATATGAATTCAATTTATTAGTCAGAAAATGTACTACCAGTCTTATTCTAATTCTCTTCAGGTCAAGAAATGTAAGTGCATTAGGTAAATATGAAGGCTCTACATTGGGGTGGGATTCAAATTTCTTAACAACCGATTCTGTGGGCATGGCTTAATTTGTGGGTATGGCTTGGTGGTTATGTGACTGGCTGGGTGTGGCTTGCTGGCTGGGTGTGACCTGGTGGTCATGTGACTGTCTGGGCGTGACCAGCTCAATGTCACTCACATCAAGGGGTGCCTCACCTGGCCCCTCCCCTCCCAGCCATTCCTTGTCTCACCCAGCCTCAACTTATCTATAGTTCTGTAAAAATGTTCACCCTTTTTTGACTTTATTATCTACGTACTCTAGATGTACTTTCATGGACCACTGAAAGGAGGAAATGGCTCACATGCTTTGTCCAAGAGGGTGATAGGCAACAGACTTTTAAGGGGCTGCCGGAAAGAGGGGTGGGTGGGCAATGTATTTTTCAAAGCACCAGAAAGCAAACAAGAAGCAATGGATGGAAACTGAACAATGAGAGAAGCAAACTAAGACTAAGGAGAAACTTCCTGACTGTGAGAACAATTAACCAATGGAACTGCTTGTCCCCAGAAGTTCTGGGTGCTCAATCACAAGAAATTTTTAAAAGACTGGACAGCCATTTCTCTGAAATGATATAGGGTTCCCCCTAAAGTCCCTTCTAAGTGTTATTCTGTTATTCTGACACCTTTCCCAGGACCTCTACTCAGTGTTTGGCATCCTCTGTTTCCCTGCCTGAGCAGAAACAAGTGTATTTATGCTCTGGAGTCTGGACTATAGACATTGAATGTTTGTAAACCCTGAAAAATATGTGGTTGCCCTAGGCAAAAAAAAAGGGCAGTAAAATCACTTTAGGTGTAAAATATTAATATATGATAAATAATGGAACAATTAAAAATAATAGAAACAGAGTTTTCTCCCCCCTTCCTATTTCTCTTTCTTTCTTTCTTTCTTTTTTCTTTCTTTCTTTCTTTCTTTTTTCTTTCTTTCTTTCTTTCTTTCTTTCTTTCTTTCTTTCTTTCTTT